AAGACACAAAGCCCCTTTGTTAGCAGCTAATCTACATTTTATCAGGCCTTTTGCTTTACTTTCTAACACAAGAATTTCTGACGGGATCAGATCCTTAACAAACTCTTTATTTTCTACGTAGCTTGCTCTTCCATAGCGCTGTGCATTGACACCTCATCCCAAACCCAAAATTCAGTCAGATGCTCTCTTTCGCAGCATTGCTTTGCAGCAGAGGATGCTGATGGCATTATATAATTACGCAATGCTTACTCCACTTCAATTTTTGGTAGCAGAGCAAACAGGCAGCCGTGCACACACAAACCCCAGCTGCGTGCTCAGAGCAGGAGCAGGGTCAGCCCAGACACGAGGGCACAGCCAGCTCAGGGCAGCACAATCTGGGCACACTAAAGCACCAAGAGCCTCCAGAAACTTCACTCTCCTTACTCCAGCCTAATTCCAGGAACCTACTCACATCTCAGAAAATTGGATCAACTAACAGGATTTTGGGATGTGCCAATCTGATAACTCTGAAATTTTTAAGTAAATAAACTGAGTAAGAATTAAAGGTTTATGCCAGCTTCAAATGTGAGGCCCGTACATAGCTGTTCAATTTTAAAAGCAGCAAGCTCTAAGTCACACTTTTCTTGAACTTGAAAAAGTTCCACAACAAAAATTTTTTTTCAGTTGAGATGATCTATTTTAGAATCTTTTGTCATGAAAAAAAACAAACAGGAGCAATGAGAAGAAACACATCTCAACTTTTTTCCTGGCATTTTCTCATCCTCTCTCATTATAGTAATGCAAACTGAGCCATAGGCCGTTTATGGCAGAATGTTTTTCTAATGAAAATAATTTTTCAGATATAGAGAAAAGGAAGCAAAGTGAACTCAGTATTTGGGAGCACCAAACTCTCTGTTCACATCAAGTCTACACAGAAATGCTGCCCTGACAGCATGTTCCTCAGTTCCTTCCAGTCCTCCATGGAGGACATTTCATAGCAACTCCTCTCTGCTAAGATGGGCAGAAGCATCCAAGCACTGTAATCCTACACCATACCAGGGTTTGAAAAAACTTGGGAGGGAAGAGGCACGTCCCTGGTTGGCAAATCCACACAATACCAAACAAACAGGCCTGGTCAGGGTGCAGTTACTCAGAAGAAACATTCCAGGCTACCAAGAAAAATTCACATTGCGACGTGCTGCGGACAATACCGGGCCCGTGCCACCATTTCAGCTCCATCTGTCACACGGTCTGACAGTGCAGCTGCCACTGACACATGGTTGAGAAGTACAGCTGGGAACACTCTCAAGGAATAATGCAACATGTGAAAACCCTCAATTACTTCTATCTGGGCAAACTACTACTTAAAAACTTTTTTGGAAGATGAGGGAGAAGAAATAAAGAGAAAAGTTAAACAATGTTTAGAACTCAGGACCTCACTCAAAGAGCTTTAAATTTCAATAGAGAGGAGCTTCAAAAAAATGAATGTATCAAACATGACTGCCACGATTAATATCATCTGAACACGAACTTTTCATGTGCAAAACAAGCACTGTATTAAACTACACAACAGTTATTTATTTACCACTAAATATGTTTAGATAGCAAGATCATCAATAAAGTACCTGGCCTTCAATATGCAGATAAAGATAATTGAATTCATAGTGGCTCCTTTCAGCTTTTCTTTTTAGAGTATTATTAAATTCAAACTTGTTTGATCCTTTCTGTACAGCCACACTGCTGCATTTTTCAGCCCAAGACTGTCTCAAAGTGAAATGCTACTTTTTCTTACAGGACAAAAATACCAGCTTTGCAGGTGTGTAAGCACCTCATGAGTGAAAGCGGCCTGTCCAGTTTGCAGTATTGCAAGTTAAATATTAAAATCAAAATTAGAGACTCCTTGCTATTGTAATTTGGGCAATTCCCTTTCAAAGTCTCCTGTGCCTTGCAACTGTAGAAACCATGTAAGAGTAAAGACAGACAGAAGTCTCTCTAGGCTGTAGACTTGTGTTAGTGACTGACCAAGGCTGGCTGATAACCTGGTGTTCTGCTCTCCCCTCTCTTCCATGGACACATCTCACAAACACACATCTATCTGCAGGAAGTGCAAAGGAAGACAAACACCCCAATAGTTACGGCTGTTTCCCAGAATTATTTGATGTATGCTGCACACTATTTTTAATGATAATCCTTCCCCTATCCAACACACGTTTTTAGGCAACACAACTTAATGAGCAGTTTTAGTTAAGTGCTGGACTGGCTATTGGCTTATATTTCACATAGAAGGAACTACACGAGAAAACAGAAAGGCTGAAGGTGTAGTTAACAGAAACAGAACAAATCCTTTCCTCCCATCCGGGCTTAGTGCTGATCACTTGGACATGCCTTACATAACAGTGTAAGCTGTCAGAGCACACAGAACATCGCTGATCTGGGGTCCCCAGCAAGTGCTGGAGATCCCCAGACTACATCTTGGCTGTTACCCAGAGCAAGTGAAGGAAGGACTTAGGAAACACCAAAGTAAAAAGCAGTTTAGACCTGAAGATACTTTCAAATACAGAGAAGTGTGTTTAAATCCATTACCTCCCCACCCCCCTCAGCCCTGCCCCAGTTTAGCCCAGATGAGTAACTGCTGGAGAAGGCACAAGTGACTAAAAGTGTGCACACAGGGAGGAGTGCAGTCCTACCAGCTTACTCCCATACCTAAACTCCTATGCAACAACTTGCTCGCAGGAGTCAGAAATTACCAGAAAATAGCTGCTCAAAGAAGGAAGACTTAATGTCAACTTTTTGGTCAACAAATCCTGACCTATAACACACCCACTGTCTGGTACAAAGCAACTGGAACACAGAACCAAGATATGTTACTGCTCAGACTCAAGAAATCCTAACAGAAACAACAAACAAACCAAAAAAAAACCCCACACACCAACCCTGGAAACAAAAACCCCACACCTAAGGATTTCCCCACATTTTGAAAGTAAGACTAGCCTGAATAGCATTCATTAGGTACAGGAAAGGAGTAAGAGGAAGACTGAGTTTAGCACAGAATTATTCTGGAATCAATAAAGTTCCCACTGCCATTCATTATGTATGGAAGTAGAAAATAAACCTGTATCATACACAAATATTTTAGGAGCTGAAATGATGTTTAGGAAGCACTTGGAAGTAAGTTTTACCTTGATTTAAAAGTGTGAAGATCCCCCACAACAATCTGTTTATGTTATGTCTACTGGGATCTGGAAAACTCCTGCACTTAAGGACATCTTTCTAAGTTCCTTACTCCCATTTCATTTCACAAACCACTGATAAGAGCTTTGCTTTACAAACTATGGCAGCTAAGTTTCAGAGCATGGCATTTTACTCTGGAGAAGGAACTCCTCTGTTAGGATCTGTACCTTCCATACCTAAAGCAAGTGGTTGCCAGTGCTTAGTAGAGAGAAACTTCCATCCTTAAAAAAACCCAAACTAAACCACTATCACTCTTGTCTACATTTATTAATAAAGGTCATGTGTATATTTTTAATGAGAGTGTGTTTAGCAAGGTTTTTTCAGAGATTTTGGTGGATTTTTTTTTTTCAAGTGGAAGCAGGGCCTGGAATCATTTAAACTAAGAATCAATACTCGTTGACAAAAGCTAATACATGATCAAGAGTTACTAAACCTAGAAACTCCCATACTAAAACTAAACTATAATTAATGAGAACATAAGACTCATAAAGGAAACAAGAACCAAATCACCATGGTTCCACCAAAGCATCTCACTGGCGAGACAAAGGATCATTAGAGCTGCAAATGCAATGACAGATCTCTTCACAGCTTGTTCTAGTCAAGTGAACAGCTCTCAATCCCATATTTGCTTCAAACAGAGATACTAGATGCATTCACCTACGTTACACTGACACACGTTTCAGGGTTACAGTGATCTAAAAGATCTACTAATAAAGGAAGTTATAGCTTATTAAATATTAAAAACTGGCATGCCCATACATTAACAGAAAAAAATGGACCATTAACAGTAAAAGCAAACAAGGAAAAAAGCTCTTTTCCTGATAGAGGACTGTGCATTCATTCTTTCAGTAACCAAATCAGAAATCATTGAATTTTCTCTTGTAGTTCACAACTTTACTTCAGTAAAATACTTCAGTAAAGTGCCACCTTCTCACAAGACAAAAATGGAACACTCAATTTTATCAGCTGAACAGTGGATCTTACCATAAGATTGAAGTCTTAGTTAAGCAATTTCTAAGAAAAACGTGATCTTAAGGCAATACGGTTTATTGCATCATAATAATTCCCCTTTATGAAGGAAAAAATAGTTATAGAAATTCAGAACACTCAAACCAAAGAATTTTTACCTCACTTTATATTATATATCCAATTTCTAAAAGATATATTTCAGTTTACCATTCTAATCCACAAATAACATCTGCAGCCCATTATCAGAACATGCCCTATGCACGTAAGATACAATTTCATAAAAACATTCAAGTAATTACCCTTAGAGAACAGAAAGGAGTCCAGGCAGGAAGATTCTGGATTTTGCATAAAGCGTGGTCATCCAAGAGTCTTGAACTATCCCAGAAGCCAAGCCATCCACAGAGGTAGGATGATGCGACTTAAGAGGAAAAACAAAACAAAACCAGAGTATTTAATTACGATGTGGAGGGTTTTATTTTTTTAAACCAGATGCATTAAGCACACAATTCAATATAACTTTTTAAATGATTTGTGTTAAATTCTATTAAAGCAGATAAATATGGGTAAAACCCCCTAAAATTCACGAATACACTGAAATAAGAGGACCTGTTTCACTGTGAACACATAAAATGTGGAAATTATCTTTCATATATGAGTATTACAGAATGCTGATCCTCTAAGTGTTAGGCTTTAGGACAAGACTTCCTCAGGTTATTGAATGCCAATTTACAATTGTAATCATCTCCAAAATTACATAATCAGGAGAGAGAATACCATGCATTGTGAAGAACTACTTTTCAGAATTATCCCCTAATGCTTACAGGCTGCAAAAGCAGTTAGATTTTTATTTAATTCCCCAACTTCCCTCTTTCTCAGCTTACACAAAACCAGTATAAGAAGACAGTTGACCAGGTGTCCTATGACTGTGTCTAATGTTCAGTGTGACACCATTATCATCAAACTCCTGATATAGCAACATCTGCAGTATGGCTAGAGACCACATGGATTAAATCACGGATCAGCTCAAGGCACTGGAAACTTGGAAATGTGAAAAGGCCGAAGTGACAGTAAACTATGGACTAAGCTAGGAAACATGGAGGGAATTGCACGATCCATGCTCTTGAGGTCTCACCTCCACCTGGAGAATCAAACAGTTACGAATTCCAAGAATTAAAGCCCTTGCAGGGGCTAAGAGCCTGCAGCCAGGACTGGATGTGACATGCCTGTTTGTGCACATCACACACACAGACACCTGACCCAGCTATGGTAAAACACCTCCCAAATGCACCACAGGAGCAAGGATCAGTACTGTCCGCATAAACACAGGCCTTCGTGATCACAAATCAAGAGTGCATACAAAATCATTCACAAATCTTAAAATAATACATACTGAAAGGCAGTCTTACATTCAGACAGACGGGCAAGTAAACGCCTACAGTTCATCTTACATAGCAACTCATAGCCTGATGCTACCAAAGGGCTCCTCCGCTTACAGAACCTCGGAACTGTAAAGATGCAGTAAAACAGCAGTAAAATGCCCGTGACCTAAGCAAGCCAAATCTAACCCACAGCAACAAACACATTAACATCTCCCTCCTCCTCCTAGAAGCCGACTTCTTTCCCAGTATAGCGATATCCATGCTATCTGCAAATAACTAAGAAAGAAAAATAATAAATAAAAGAAGCCCCAAACAAAGAGACAAATGAAGATTCATAACCTATTTGCTCTGAAACAGCAGGACTTCAGATGGTCACTATCGAGGTTCATTAAAGTGTACGTGTTAGGTAACAGGGAGATGTGTGCAGTCACTGCATTTTCTATACACTGAATATAAAAACAAATGTTTTAGTGTTTTAGGATTCTTTAATGCTAAAACAACTTCACAAAGCTAACAAGCACAGTAAAATGTTGAAACGTTTTCGATTTTAGCACTTTAGCTAAATAATCCCGAACCCAGCAAAATCAGAATCACTAGATAAAAAAAATAGCACTGTTACTTGTGTTTTAGAAGTCCAACATTTTGCTAGAAGGAGATGAAGTCAAGCAGTTTTCAAATTAAATTTCTTTATTAGATACTTCAAAGGATTCCTGCAGAAGTAACTGTGGAGGTTTTGACTTTGGCCCTGTATGATTTCACACTGGGGTGAGTGTCAGGAAGAAGTACAGAAAAATGCTATTAGGTTTAGCTTTTACAATCTGTTAGGAAAAAAAAAACCAACTATAGAAGACACGGAGTAGCTGCAAATACTATGAATTACACGTCTAGTGGATTACTTTTTGTCTTCCCCTCCTAGTACGTCTTTAGGGATCATTTTAGAATTTTGAGTTTACAGCATCATTTCAATGTTAATGGTATTTCCCACACTGCAGTTAACTGTCTGGACTATGGAATTTTAGCCACATCAAAAATAAAGTGGAAAACTACTGCATAAGGCTCCTACCTATGCTTTTAGAGACGAGCATTCCAACACAGCTTGAAAAATTCCAGGCCTAACTAGGGCAGAAATTATTAACTGCACCTAATTTGCGAGCTTAATCTGCAATACGCATAAAGACCCGTCTTATGCTGCTCCAGTCCTATCCACCTGCCCGTAGCCCAGGATAACACACGCTTCCTAAGCCAAACAAAACGTGCTATTAAAAAGGTAACTGCAGCTGATACATTAAGTCGCAACTACCCAGCGGTAGCGATCAGGAGTGCCAGAATGGAGCCGCTGGGATTCAGGGAAAACCCTTTCCTGCCGCCCTCCCGCAGCCGCTCCCGCGGCTCCTGCCACCATTTGGCCTTTGTGGAAGGAGTGTCGGTGCTTCCTGCGGGCGTCCCGCCCCCCCGCAGCCGTGGGCAGCGGTAACCAGAGACAACCTTGGGCTTCCCGAGCTGCGAAAAGTTACACTCCTCCCCCTTCCTCCGCCCGGCTCGCTCAGACCCCGGCCGGGCTAATTATAACTGCGCGAACAACTTCCACCGCCGGCCGCGCTCCGGGCGCTCCCCCCGCGCCCAGCCCGGCTCTCCGGGGCTGCCGCACCCGCACCCCGGCCCCGCTGTGCCCCCTGCGCCCAGCTCGGCTCCCCGGGGCCGCCATACCCGGACCCGGGTCCCGCTGTGCCCCCGCCCCAGCCCGGCTCTCCGGGGCCGCCGTCCTTCCGCACCGCACCGGGGCGCACGGCACTGGGGCCCGCCGCCCGCTCCACCTGTCCCCGCTGTCCCCTCCTCTCCCACCGCACCGCCGGCTGCCCCTCCACCCCTTACCGGCAGAGCCCCCCTCCCCCGCCCCGTCGGGGCTCCCGCCGCCCCCGCCTCGGCCTCCCGCCGTGCCCGGCCGTCACCCCGTGGCCACCGCTGCCCTCCCCCTGCCCCCGGCTCCCAGCCCCGCGCCCTCCCGCCGCCTCCTGCCCGGCGCCCCACCTGGGAGCAGAGGAGCCCCCGTTCCTTCGCAGCAGCCGCGCTCCCTCCCTTCCCGGGGCTGGGACTCGGGCCGGGAGGAGGCGGAGGCAGCGCCACCCCCGCCGGGCCCCGGCAGCCTCCGCTCCGCCCTTCCCTCCGCCAGCGGCTTCCGCGGGGGGGCGCTGCGCGCGCCGCGCGCGCCAGCTGCCCGCCCTCCCATTGGCCGGCGGCCCTTTCAACCTGCCCGGCAACCATTTTCTGACTGGCCGGCGAGCCGGGGGGGCGGGGCTACAGCTGGTCCCGCGGTGCCGCCCAATGAGACAGCCAGGAGAGTCGGGGGGCGGGGCCTCGCGTCCGCCTCGCCCAATGGGGACGCGGGCGCCGCCGAGTCCCGCGTCCCCCGGCGCGGCGCTCCCGGGGCAGCCCCGCCCGCACTGCCGGAGACGGAGGAGCGGCCGCACCGGGCCAGGCCGGGCCGAGCCGGGCCGGGCTCGGCACCGCACTTCGTGCCTTGAAACCACTGCGGAGACACCGGCCAGCCGGGACACAAGCCCACAACTGCCCCAGACCGCCCCCCCCTTTTTTTTTAAAATAAACTCGCAGTCCATCTGTGACCAAAACTACCAAATTTCAGTAAAAGGCACACCCAGGGCCTCTACAGAGCAGCGCCCGGTGCCAGGGCTGTTGGGAAACGAGGCGCACACGTCTCCCGACCAGCCCTACAGCTACGTCAAACATTGCACAATTCTCCCATGAATATTCACTTGATTTTTTTTTCTTCAAAGACGAGGTGGCTTTAGCCATGCTCAAACCTCATATTTGCTTTTCACGGGCATTTGCGTAATCAAGTTACGTTGGCACGAGTGTTTGTACAAGCCAGATTTCAAAATCTGACATGAAAGTATTTGTAAAGATCGATTTTGATCCTTTGTCGAACCCTTCCATGGGTTGGTTACCTGATGCATCCCCAAAAAGCTGCTTGATCTAAACCCATCTCTGAAAGAGTCAATCTCTTGGACATTAAAGCCAAACAAATCTCGTAGACGGGTTCCTACATTGATGGTGAGCACAGATCAAGTTCACACACAAGGTTCTGTGTCGGTCTCATAAATACTACAGGAACATTTGCAATGTTCTGGTGAAGATACACTACAACTTCAATGAACAATCAGCTGTTTATTGTGATTGTTCAGCAAAGGAGATTTTTTTCTTTTACACCCTTAGGTCCAACAGATTTTAACCCTTGTGTCTCCTGATGGGCACTCGTAGGAGTGTGCAAGGCCTGACCCAAATGCAGGTGCAAAGGGCAGAGAGACAGAAAGCTGGAACTGTCCCCCTGCAAGTCCCTCTCTGAGGATGAGGGGACCGTCTCTCCAGGCCACCTCTCTCCTGCAGTGTGGTGCCCCCAATTCCTCAGCCACAGCTGTGCTCTGACCTCACTGCTGAGGGTCATGGAGCACTGAAGGGGAGCGAGTGCTGCTGTGAGAAGCACTAATGAATCCTTTTTGACATGCTGCCGGAGCAGTGTCATTTCTCTGAATGGCTGAGGGGTGACACCCCGACCCCCATGGTCCATCTGCTGCACCAAGTCTAAGTGCAGCACCAGTGTCAGCAGCACTGAGGGAGATGAGTGGACCACATGCCTCTCCCAGACTCCTTCCTTCTGACCACACACTGTGGCTTAAGTGGAGGAGTAACTCTGAGATGTTCAGGATTCTTCTGTCTGCTAAAGTCAGCCAGGGACAACTAGGAGTATTGCACCAGGACTGGCCCCTGCCATATGGTAGGGATTATCTCCAAGGAATAGACACAGGATAGGCGTACAAAGGTAGCTGGTGCAGAAGGGACAGATCTGGAATAATTAAGTGTAATACGGAATATAAAGGGATAGTTTAACTGGCAGTAGCACCAAAGTGTTCCCATATCTTGAGCCAAGATTAGGCTTTGCAGACTTGATCCCTGCTGACAAAAAGTCTGTGACCTCTGGGCAGCCCTGTGCCACTAGTACAGTCCTGGACAATTCTCCCTCTCTACAGCTCAAGGCAATGCTTGAGCCTCTGGTACAACCATTCTCCTCCAGTCCAGCAGACCTCCCAAAAAGACACCAACACTGGTCTCCTCACTCTGTCTTGAGTGGTTAACCTAAGGTGATCAGCTGTTCTGTAAGCAATTTTTGTTCTCTGCAAAAGAAAAGGGTGAATATCTCTTCTATAGTGGATGTTTCTAGAAAGGCCAGTTGTTTCAAGCATGCTCTGACAAGAGCTACAGAAAAAAGAACCTCGAGTTGTTTAAATGCATGCATCAGAACTTTGGACTCATGTCTTAACACTTGAAGAAGTTAATAGAAATGACACAAAATGACACAAAATAATGGTGATTATTCACAAGGGGTTTGGTCACTTTTTTATGTGTGTTAACAGTGGGATTCACATAAAAGAACTGGAACCTGGAAAAACTGTTTAGTTTGGCAATATTTAATGTCTCGTGCTAGAGGAGCCATGCTTGTCTCACACAGTGAAGAATTCAGAGGGCTGAGATCACATATAAGGTCTTTCTTGGCAAAAAAGTTCCTTCAAAAGGTCATTACATTCTCAAATGAGGTCATGTTCTAGGAGTCTAATGCTTTCCCATTTTGACTTGAACTAAGCTTGAGGCAAACAAGAGGATTGCATATGATTTTTTAATGATTTAAACATGGCCTTTCAGTATGACTATACTCACTGCAGCAGGCCAGGATGCCATTCTAACGAGCAGCATATTTGCCTTTGCAGCAAATTTCGCATAAACCAGGAAAAACACAACCCTCAAACTAATCAATGTCTCTATGTAACTCATCTGAAAGGAACACTGGAGGTTTGCTACTTATTCTTACCTTCATACTTGGCATCTATTCAAAAATACAGTTCCAGGAACACAGGAACTAACAAAGACTGCTTTCCTATGGATTTATGCCTGTGATTAATTACTCTGTGTCTAAGGTATGAGCCCTAATTGGGGCAGTTCTCATGCCTGGAAACATATGCCTCTCCCTTATCTGGATTGGTGGATATCAGTACAGAAAGCTGTTTTCTTCTGGTATCACCAAACCCAGAAACATTGTAAAAATGTAATGGTTGTGAGATCTGCTGGATTAGATTGAAACTAATTAGCTATGCTAAACCTGAATGGCAAAATGATCCTGTATGCCATCCTTCCATAGGGAAGTGAGTAAGGAAGAGCATACTGCACTAAAACCCAGTTACTTTTATCACCTCTTTTTTCAGGAAAGGAAATGAAATCTAGGAAACAGAGAACCATGTGGAACAAGCACTCAGAAAAGGAGATATGATCAAATCCAATGCAAGTGCAAAAAACCCCAAAAAATCTGACCATGGAGTGACTTCAACCACAGAGGCTGAACTGAACTGAGGAGCAGTGAAAAGGCATGAGGAAATCCTTCCTTTCAGGAAAGGAAATGAATTCTTGCAATTTCAATGAAGATCAATTGGACAAGGTTTGGGCCATTTCCGTGCATTTGAGGTCATCTCCTTCACTTTTCTGGTTTTCACATGTTTGCAGAATTTTATCTCATCAGAGTACACCAGATCATTGCTTCAGTTGCTACTCCTGTCATTTTGTTCACTTTCTTGCCGGATTTTGGGATGTTGGTGGGAACAATTTTGGCAAGTTTCTGGCATTTTCACTGCTCTTCAGTGAAGTTCAGCCTCTTTGGTTGAAGTCACTCCATGGTCAGATTTTTTGGGTTTTTTTCCACTTGCGTGGAAACCTTGTCCAATTGATCTTCATTGAAATCGCAAGATTTCATTTCCTTTCACGAAAACAGTGAAGTCTGTGTGAATGAAGTATTTCTACACATTCTCAAGTTTATTAGAAAAAGCCGTGGCACAACAGCATTATTACAAAACCTAAGCACACCTTACTGAATATTTCTTAGAGTAAGAAAGTCGCCATTGTTCTCTACTGTCAAAAGAACCACAATTTACAAGCAAAATCACTTTCCCTCTATACCTTTGAAACAAAACAGAGATAGAAAAGCAACTAATGTTACTGAGCTTTTATTTTAACAATTAACCATTCAACAATTTTTTCCTAAACTTCAGTCAGCTCACTGGACATAAAAATCATTCCAACACCTGGTAATTTCCATATCTTGATTTTCTGTCAGTATTGATTTGAAATACAGAAAAGTGAATTTATTACAAGTACTGGGGTTGTTTTCTTTTACGTATTAAACTCTTTTGGTTTTTGAGTTTGTTTTTTATGAACATACCCGCTCTTCCCTTTGGAAGTCCTGCTTTGTAAGCTTGCACAACCCCAGGTTGAAGTTGCATTACTTTTTCTTGATTTCCTCTTCAAATCTTGTCTGAAAAATAGCATATCCAGTTCCTTCGCTGCAGCATTTTACTATTCCCACACATACTTGCACTTCCCACAAACTCCATGCGGACTTCCAAATATAGCATATACGGGGATACAATTTCTGTTTAATTCTGGTTTTGCAAGATATCATGTATCTTCAATTACTCTTCCCTAAAAAGGTGACAGTTTGAAATTACTCAAATGTTTCCCTGGCAATGTAAAGAGGCCTCTAGCATTGGGTTTTCCTGTTGATACGTTTGTCATTCATGAACATTTACTGCAATAATTCTTCAGGTCATAAACCACTCATTTTGGGGGAATGTTGGTTAAACAAATGAATAATTATTGGGGTTTTTTCAAGAAAGAGAGAGTTACTATACAAACTTATAAAAATCATGTCAAATAATGAAATTTTTGTATTTTTCACTAGCTTTTTTTAAAGGCACTACAAACATCTAAAATAATTCTTTCCTGACAAATTATTCTATGGGATTTCACGTCTCACTGAAAATTCCTTCAAATAAAATAGGAAAATTTAACTTAACTGTCGACTTTACAAGAGACACCACCAGTTCACACAATCCTTGCAAAACCTTGTATTTGATAAGCCAGATTGACAACAATACATATGTTCCCAAGATGTTTATTTCATTTCTTTGAAACTTAGTGGCTTTGTACTTTTAGTATTAGTCAGAGCATGAAATAACACTCATTTAAGAACTGACAAGCAAACAAAATTTGTCATCATCAGACGTGGTTTTTTTGCATATGGGGCTACATCCTGGGCCTGAGACAAAAGCATAGTTTCACTTAGAACAGAAGTAATTTTTGAAAGTATTATTTGTCTTATCATAGATTCAGAAAAAATTGGTTGGTTTTTTTTTCATTTTAGCTCTTGACAGTTCATTTACGTATAAGGGAGTATGGAGTAAGTTGCAGGATTGTAAAGCAGTCACAGAAATCAATATTCTGAGGCACAAAAAATCCATAATGGTCTGGTAATTACAATATTAAATTATACTCTCAGTCAATTTACAATAATGCCTTTTAAAATGCTTACTAAAGCAGCCCAGACATACCTAAGACTTCAAAAAAAGTCTAAGGGCAGCTTTGAGAACAGGTAATTCCTGGTGAGTCCGAAGGCTCAGCTTACATGTGAATCCCTAACCTGCTCTAGGCTGAAATCCTTTACTGCTGGCCTCCAAGGCAATCTGGTCAGGAAAGGTGCTTTTTTTATTCAAAGACCTAATTCTCTCTCCATTGACCAAATTTGTCCTTTATGCAAATATAGCTATGGTCACAGAGACAGGCGATGTCTTTTGCTAGGAGAACTCCCAGAGCTGCAGCAGAGAAGGGGTTAAAAGAAACCAACAACCACATAAACACAGAAGCAATAAGCAGACAAGCCACTGTCACAGCAGCCTGGGTCTTTGCACTTCTTGCCTTTGCAGAATGCCCGAGCTCTGATTTTCTGGCAAGGGAAAAGGAGAAATAAAACCACAGGCACAGAAGAAGGGGACAGATATTCAGTGTTACCTGCAAAGGAAGCAGATTGGATATTAGCTGTGTGCTTGACAGTGCTTTCTTCTGTGTGAGTCTACAGCCCAGTGCCATCAGCAGACCAGCAGCCTTGTCTGACACACAGCATTGATGCTGTGCAAGCTCCATGACTCTTCCCTAGGAGCACAAGAGAAAAAAGGCTGCTGGGTGTGGCAGCAAAATCTGTCAGAAGCCTTTCCTAATTTAAGAAGCTATGTTTTCTTTTTTTTTTTAGTTTTCATTTACATGTAGAAATTAAGAAAATCCTCATCAGCAAGTATCATCTCTCACCCTTTGTAGTAACAGCTCACTAAAGAAATGAGAATAGCAGTTAGAAAATAAAGCTTTTTTATTTTTTTTCCAACATGAGAAGCTGAATTAGCCTGAGACATTATTAAAGCAGTAGGGAGACAAGCCGATTCTACAGACTGGTCTCTGCAAAGTCAGACCAGCTGTAGGCACCCATCAGTTGTGCATGGTGACTGTGCAATACAAATTCTTATACCTGCTGAGCCAAGATATCAGGCTTGTAAGAGCACATAAGATTTGGCATAAGTTTTGAGAATGTAATAAAATAGGATAAATATTTCTGTTTAAATGCTTAGCTCCACAAATGCCTACTTACCTAGCACCTTTCCTGTTATGTCAAGTAGTCTCTATAAATTGTTTTAACTAGGCACAGCTTCCTCAGTGAAGGAATGCACCCAGCTAGATGCTTTGTAATAAAGTATAGAGTTATAAATACACACGTGTATTTGACATATACAGTTTAACAGTTATGAACAAGCTATACCAATTCCTATCTGTAACATGCAGACTGATGCACACTAAGGTGGTGAAGAGCATTTTTAAAATATCTTAACATGAAATTGCTCACTTGATGAAAATGGAGGGTGTGGGGGCAGAGGGGAACACCCACAATTGCTCAAACCTGTTGGTTTTCAACACAGTTCAGAGCAGTTTTGGGGAAGCTTCCCAGAGGAACAGAAGATATTTAGTTATTCCAATCAATGCTGATGTTCCCATTATAAAACTGATGTTCCCTGGCTGGCTGTTTTACCCTAAGGCATCTGCCGTCCAGTTCAGTGGTTGCACACAGAAAAGCACCAAGAAAAATTACCTGCAGATTTATAATTTTGCAAGGAATTTCTGATACTACAACAAACACTACCAAATAAGCCACCTTTATTTCACTGTGAGATACAACAGTTTTTTATCTGTATTTGGATCCTCCTGAATCAGTATTTATTACTGCAATACCTATGAGTGATCTCTCAATTAAGACACGTAACATGGGCTTCTCTTTGGTCCAGCTGTATCCTATGGACTGAACTTGCAAGTGCCTATATGCTATTTTGTCCTTCAACATGAAATTATAAATCAAAGTTTAAGTGAGAAAGCAAAGTTTAACTACAGCAACTACAAGTTATCTTATGCCAAATTTAATATAAGGAAACATCTTTCAGTTCACTGAAGACTCACACCAAGTGCATTGTTTCAGAAGATGGAGCCAATACACATTCAACTGTTGAGTTTGCACAATTTAGCTAAATGATGTGATCTTTCCTCAAAGCAGGTGACTCTAAAAGCACATAAGCTCAGTGGTCTCCTTATTCTTGAAGTGATACTCCAATGTTCTTAACACTCCTTCGGCATCCCCACCTCCAATCTCCAGGTTTGAGAATCTGCATCCTTGGTAAGGTCACTCATGGGAAGGCAGAGCCTGTCACACAGAGCAAGGTTCTCTCTTCTTGTTCAGCTTGCTTGGCTCAGATCTACAGAAAACAACCACATTACTGACAGATGTTTTCACCTGGCACAGCCATGGCCAACACATTCCAGAAACCAATCCGTATTTTCCCCCTTCCCTACTCTCTGCTAGCTTGGGGCTTTTCCCCATTAGCAGCTTCTGATGGTAAACATTTCTTGTTTTACAAAATCATAGGCTATGCTCAAATTATCCCTTCCCCCCCAAAAAAGTGTCTTAGGAAGAAGCTTAGTTATATACACTCTAAACCAAAGGTGCTGGAAAAAAAGACCACCATCCCATGTTGTATTACACTTTTTGTTATTAAAAAAAGCCAAGAGGAAACCCTTGGTAAGAGTGGAGCATATTAACTATGACAAGACATCATGACATACCAACCAGTGAGACTTAAAGACCGCTAATAACACTTTTTGCAGAAATTAGTGCAAGATAGTTATCCCATATAAACAAATATTTGATGGTAGACTTCAATGATAAACAATTCACTTGATGACATTTACATATAAATACACATAAATAAAAGCCTACATCATTTAGGTTTGTAGTTAACAAAAAGTATGGTCTGAAATGAATTAAATGTAATTGTGTCTAGCTAGATCAAAGTTCTTCCTATAATGATACTCAAGTATGTGGGGTATGAAAGGCATAAATGTACAATTCTCAATTTAGTAAAGTACTACTCTATAAAACAGAATCATGAAAACAGCTCTTACATTTTAATGCAAAGTATAAAATTGTATATTTACATTTACATACACTTTACTGAACTACATTGGGTAGCTCATGGTAAAAAAACATCCCTTTTTGAAAATCTTACAAAAAATACATCAACTGCAGATATGATCAAAAGTTACTAAGTTAGCAGCTGACATAACATCTGTAGTAAAAAATATATTTTAGGAAAATACCTGGAAAAATCTAAACATCAATAAGCACTTTAAAACTATTTTTGAAGTAAAAATTGTAGCAAAACCCAGAAGAAGCTAGCAAGTATAACAAGAACTATTGCATACTGCTCTTTAAGAGCCATGTAGCGACTTAAAACAGAAGCAGCAGGTATGGTAGGAGTTTTGTGGTGTAACAAAGTGGCAACCGGAGGAAAATAGGAAACGAGTAATCCAACTTCTCTCTCTGTTTATTACCATTTTTATGGGAGAAGTGTAAGAAGATAGAGAATCCCTCTCCCTGAGGATATCCTCCATCAAAAGCTAAAACAAATTGGTAAAAGGAACCCAATTTCAAGAGCCTTGGACCCCTAATGTAGAAACATTTACCATATTTACTTACAGTTCAGTGGACAATAAATCAGATTATTACACTACAAGTTGCAGGTTAACTTTAATAAGAGTTAACACTATTTTGCAATATGAAGTGCTTCTTAATACATGTATCTATATAATATATAGATATTTGTAAAATACTCGTGCAGATTTGATAGAACAAACTGTAGAAATTACTTTCTCAAGTCTTTTCTTCCCATTAGCAGATCTTTACCTCCTATATAAGGAGGTTCAGGATTCAACAAGGATTTCCACAATATGATCAAGGTCATTAAGATCAGATTTGCAATTAGAGTGAGAAGCTGTATTTGTTGGAGAAGAAAATGTTTCAAGACTATCACAGTGTCCCATTTTTGTGTTGGTTATCATGCCAGTTAACATAGTATCAAGATCATAGTAAGAATTGTCAACTTCTGAAAACAGATCTTCAACAGAATTAGGACTTTTATTCTCCAGCGTCTCAAATATTTGATCTAAAGATTTTTGAAAGTTTCCTTTATTTTCTTGTGGATTCTCCATTTCCCACACGTTGCTCTGCAGGTTTCTTGGTGCTTGCACTGAAGGGGCTGTTGACATAGTTTCTGAACTATCCTGTGCCTGGTCACTCTCAAAGTCTTTATTGAAAGTACCATAGGCTGGAACATGCTTTCCCTCAGCTTGATCCCTAGAAGAACGACACAGGATATCTGTTGAAACAAGACGATCCAGGGATGCCTGCCCTGTACTCTGTGTGTTTATCATCTGCCAAGTCCCGTCTTGAGTCATTTCCTCTTGGATCTGCCGTACCGTGTTGGCTATAAGTACTGAACGACAAAGGTTGGGTTCCACCAGCATGTGACACAGCTGAAGTTTAACCAAGGACATATCTAAAAGTGACTGCCGCTGGAGATTATAGGAAGGAATAGCCTTAATACCAGCCAGAGTCCCTTCTATATCTTCTTCACCATCAAAACATTTCCTCTTTAATCCTCGCACAAACATTGTGTCCTGTTAAAAAAAACCAAACAAATAAAAAAAAAATCATGTACAACATAAACAGCTCAAGAAGGAGGAGAAAAGGTACTAAAAAAGAGAACAGCAAACGTTAATCTTCTATTAAAAAGCAAATTCTTTAAAGATAGAAACATCAGAATTGTCATACCATGTTCTAAAATGACCAGTGTGGTACAACAGGGGTCAGGAACATGTGGACCAGGTCCCAAAGGCGACATTCGGGAACCAGGGCTGAGCAGGTCCACAAGGCACAGCATCGGAGAGAGGCAGGGGCTCCCAGCTCCTGGCTCCCATTAAGCTCCACACCTGACGGAAGTCAGGAGCTGCTGCCTCGCACAGAAGCAAACATCTCACCGGCTGTATTTCACCTACTGCAGAGGCAGTTTCTCCTGGCTCCTCTCGAGTTTCTACTGGCATGCTTAACCTCTGATTTAGGAAATAAAAGTACAACCTGGCACACCATCTTTAAAAGATTTGCCCCTCCAGAACATTAATATGCCTAACAGAATAACATGAAAAAAAACCCAAACAAACATGGGCAGCATATATGACAAGATTAGCTTATTTTGGCTACAAAGAGAGTAATATCTAGATTTGTTCCATGTAACTTGAGGCGTTCAGCAGGGGTGCCCAAAGCAGTCCTTCCGGTTCCCTTCCTTGGGTGAGGAAGTGAACTGTGTAATTCCAATAAGAACTGGGTGAGTCCAGTAAGGATAGTCACAGTCATCCTCTGTATGGGCTTCTGTACTCCTCTCCTAGTTGACTGTAAGATAGCAAAATTCCTATATTTGTAGCTTAGGTTCACAAGCTAAAAATACACAGGGTGCATGCAGGCTTTTCAGTATTCACACCTAAAATCACTTGCTGAATTCCTTAACGGGTGCCTCTCAAGTACCAGCCTCAGCTCTTTCTGAGAATTGCACTAATTTTGACAACAGTGCCCCATGCAAATATTGCAGCTGGTCTCTTGGAATACAAAGAAACTTTTTTTTTTTTAAATGCAGGATGTATCACTTCTGTTAGTCTTATAAAAATTGAGCTGCAAATGAAAGCTGGTACCTGACCTTTACATTTATGCTTCTTCCTTATTTTCCTTCTATGTCTTCTGTCCTTAGAATTCCTATTTGCCCACTATTTGGGGACTTTTTTCCAAGTAGTGACCCAAACGAAAGAGTTTTTCACCTAAAAGCTGATAAAACATAATACTATTGCAGTGTCTTTCCATACAATTTCCCATTTTCCTTGATAAGCCCTAAACTCTGCCTCACTTTTCTGGTTGCTACGGTACATTCCACATATTTTCAAGGAATTCTCTCTCAGCTTTTTCAGAGACACTAAAAATCCACAAAAGGGCAACAACACTGTTCCTTTCAAAATACATTACATGCTTATCTACTGTGAAAACCTGGGGATAGCACAGTAGCTAGATAAACACTTGGTCTGACTCTGTACAACACTTCTTACATTGCTGTACATATATCCATGAAATAACCTTTGTTCAGATTTGCCAACTCTTAGAAGATTTCTTTCCACTAAAGGTACAAAACTCTTTAGAAAACACAATGTGCAGAGACTACAATATAGAAAGAACTTAGACTTGCAGTCATTTTTCATAACTTCTTAAAAGCTATCCATGGATCAGCTATGTATTAAATACTTTGGACATTTCTTCTAAAATTTTATCCTGAAACCTAACATATTTCCATTACTCCTATTAAATACAACACATGTTGTTGCTCGATGGATCCTTTTCCAGATTTTTAGACATTCCTGCAAACTTCCTATCAATTCCTATTTAATTTTTCCTACACTTGTACATACAGTAATTTCTGAACACACCCTCCCTTCCCATGTGAAACAACCTCTAAAAAAACCATTTGGGACTGTGTACAAATCATGTATGATTGAATTGTCAAACCTTAAACACTGTGCAGAGTTTGAAGCTTCTTTTATTCCGACTCATATTTTTGTGAAGAGTAATTAAAACTTCAGTTGAATGTTAACCTGGTTTTCATACATCTGTAATTTGGAATCTATATGCCTTCTAAGGCATACCAACAGAACAGAACACAGGAGAAAACTTGAAAGCCTCAATATATCACACACACTTGGGCACCTAGAAGCAGAGGAAAAACATTTATCGATTCTTAAAGGAAAACCTTTCACAGCATTCACTGGATTTTTTTCTAAAATTTGCTTTCAATGGGTATCTTAAATCATAAAGCCAGTTCCTTGTCATCCTGTTCTCATGACTGCACAGAGTACCAGCTTATGGTTTAAGAAGCAAAAAGTGACATACCAGGAATTGTGTTTGATGCAGTCCTTCCTCTTCTCCCATGCTACTGAGCAAGAGTCCATACAGTAAAAGTGACAGCACCACCTGCCAAGCACAGGGAAATAAGATGTCAGGCAGAGACAGGAGATGCAGAACAAAATAGTTTTGCTTCGATATCTCTGTGCTGTATGATGTGAGCATGGTTCCCAGAAACAAGAATAGTACTATTAAACCCAATGCACAATTAGAGCACAAATGTGATTTGGCCAACAATACTCCCAAAATCTGCAGCAGGAGGAAAATGCCAGTTTAATTCCAGGTCCTAGGCTATTGCCCTGACCTTTGGACCAGCCTCTCCCTTATGCCTACACCACTGCCATTTAAAGAACAAACAAAAATTTTTCATATGAGCATTAAAGATTACGTTTGTATAAACAAAAGGTAATGAAAGCCAAGTCTTCCTTACTTTTATTACGAAACTATAGTTTTCACCTTTATTGAACAAACCCATGTATATTTCTGTAACATCTAGAGAAAATGAGGTGACACAAACACAAAACTGTAACATAGCAAAACATGAGAGAATTTTCCTTTACCAGCATAGAAACTTTATGACTAAGATTTACTTTGCAAGATGACAATAATGAAAGTAATGACAGTAATTAAACTGCTTTAACTATAAAGGCTGAGTTTTTAAAAACCCATTTAAAACATAGTAAGATTTGATATCTCAAATACAACTTCCCATCACATGCAACAATTCCTTAACTACTGAAACTGAAAAGAATGCTGTTCTAACAGGCTATAAAAACTTTTATAATAAACTATGGAAACAATTTAACAATACTTTTCTAGACATGTCTGTGCAGTACAAGATGGCTCTGTGTCTGCAACTGAAGTGCACACCTAGAAAAGAAACAAATAAAGAGGGTGCACATGGACATTTGTTCTTATTTTCTGTTTTATGTAGTAATAAACAATTTTTCAAGATTGCTTGCTTTCAAATATGAGGGGGAAGAAGAGGGCTGACAAAGGACTTGGGGGTGGGAGTGCAGAAAACATGTTTTTCCTCAAGAAGCTGCATACTCATTAAAATACCACAACGGGAAAAAAAACCCCACCTTTAACATTCTCAAGCCAAGATCTTTTGACTTGGTCCCAGATATTCAAACTAAATAATGTTATGTCATGGAAACTGTATTTCAACCAACTCATAATCATTTTCTTTTATGGACTGAGCTCACAGCAACTTCAGAAACAGTGTCTTAAGGCATCTGAGCTACAACTTCAGTCAGACACCATATCAAGCCAATGAACTATTTCTTATTTCTAGCAAATGCTTTATGACACTATAAAAGTTCAGAAGTTTCTGCTCCCCAGGTATACTTTCAAAATATTCTATAAATGAAAAGTGATCTCTTTGAGAGCCTGTGTCTGGTAACTATTTGAATCACAAAAATTCTACTTTATTGGAGGATAGGTGACAAGGGCATGAACCTAATTTGAAAAAACCCAACCATGCAAAACACAGCAAACACTCCAAACGCACCAAACCCTTCCCCTGCAATAACTACAGGTAAAGATGATGCAGTCATGAGAAAAAATCAAACCGAAATCTTTTCTGAGACTATTTGGTATATCTGAAAAATTTAGAAGGAGAGGCTGTGGCCGTTTGCCTCCCAAAATAGTGGACAATACAGGAGGGGACCACTGCTGTTGGTAAAAGAGCCATAATCACATCCATAAACTAAATGACAGGGGATGGCAAACCAGTCCAGTCTGTAATCTATTTACATAGTACAGGAGGAAGGTTTTCCCATGCAATGTATGTGTAAAACCTGCTGCGTGTGATTCCAGGTTCTTCCCTAGGGCAATAACCAAACCACGTAGACCTCTGGTAGTATGAATTTGAAGAGTACATCCATCACAGCAGTCATTTCTTTGGGTTCTATAAACTGGTATAGATCTGTACCTCAGCAACTAAGTTCTCAGTAAAAGCATATTAACTTCATAGCTATTATCAGATGCAATAAAAACCTTGCACACAAATGACCTCCTGCAGACTTCTCTGCATTATCTCCAATAAGCATTCATCTCAAGAGAATGCTAAATTTGAAACTTAATTAAAATCTAAACCTTTTCCTATTGATTTATGTATTAACATACTCGAAAAGGCTTTAGCCTTTTGGTACATCAGAGCACTGCTGCTTCAGAGTCAAGGTGTTCAAAATCCCCTGATAATTTCAAGCAGCGCCTTTCTGTGTCCAAGAGGCAGCATCTGGACGAGCTACATCATCTCCTTTCTTCCCCTGCTACTCCAGTGTCATGAGCCCAAACTTTGTGTGTTCAACTAAACTGCTGTTTGAAACAGCTATGCAAAAAAAAAAAAAAATGTTGTCAAGGAGACAACAGCTAGCTGCAGCATAATACACTAGGAAAAATGAGTTTTGTGGGGGATTTTAAAATTTTTTTTTGTTTGTTTATTTTCTTTTTTGTTATTTTTTAATAGTAGCACAGTATTATGTAATTCGTTACAAGTTTTTCTTTTTGGATCAACAAATTTCCAGTCTGCTTTACAAACAAGGTACTTGAAATTTGATACAATTCTTATTAAAGCATCAACTTCAGAACTCCGGGTTCACACTCAATTCAGACTCATATAGTAATATGCTGGCAAAGATATAGTTAGGTACTTAAGGGAAAAAGCTGTTTCCCATTAGTTGGGGTAACAGAGAAGATAGGGAATTTCAGTAGCGTTTATTTTTATGAGAAAGCAGACAAGATCTACCTAGGCCAGTGCTGGAAGTTCAGTGAAGCACAGTGCTGCTTTTTGTACAGCATTAAGTACAGTGATGATGGTTAGTAAAGCAAAAAGGGGCCGTACCTCCCATCTACCACTCTAATCCTCTCCACTCCAACACTGGCTTTTCTAACAACTGTGGGAAGAAACCAAAGCTCTGTGTAATAGTGGAGAAAAAGACGGAAAAAGAGCTACTTCTCTTCTTTAGACATGCACATGTGTCCATATGGTGGTGTCGAGGTATAAGGTGGGATGCAGACACAGCAGAGGGCTAGTAAGGCCAGAAACATCGCTATCGGGACTGGAACAAAGGCCTCTATAAAGCACTGGGGTCTACCCACCCCCGGGCTGTAAGGGGATGGCAAGCACGTCTCCGGCACTCCAGAGATCTGGGAAGGGGTTCCAGCACCCAGGGAAGGGCAGGCTGGGCAGCTGGAGTAGGAGCTCGTGGAAACGCAGGCGAAGGCCGGGAGCGCTGAGCGGGAGGGAGCCCGCAGAACCGGGGGGAGAGGCGGGACAGGGGCGGGGAGCGAGGGGGAGCTCCCCGGTGGTGGGAGGGCAGCGGAGTGCCCGGGGGAGGCGCGGACGATGAGGGAGCGAGGCTCCGGAAGGGACCGAACGGAGAAGTGCAGAACGGGCTCCCTGTCTCGCCCGCCCCGGCCCTCTCGGCACTCCCGGCGGTTACTCATCGCCCCGCGCTCCCGCCGCCATTTTGAATCGACCCCGTCCCCTCCAAGGGTTCGCCGGCACCGGCTTCCCGTGGATCCGACCCAGCCCAGCCCGACCCAGCCTACCGTACTCACCGCCCTGCCGTTGCTGTCGCCGGCGCACGCCCGCGCAGGAATCCCCGCTCCGCTCCCGCCTCACCGCCCGCTCCGCGCCTGAGGGACGGGCGGGGCCAACCGGCCCCGCCTCCCCCCGCCCGCCATCTTATTGTCAAGCCCCACAAAGAGACTCGCGTCCGCTGGGGGCGGGCCTTCCCCGGAGACCACGCCCACCAGGAAGCGGCGGCCGCTGCTATTGGCTGCCGTCAGGCCCCGCAGGCACCACTCGCCGCTGCAATTGGCTATAACACCCGCCTGTCACGACCACGGCTCCGTCCCCGAAGGCGGTGGGGTTGCCATGGCAGCCGGACCCTTCCCCTTGGCCGTGAGAGGCTGAGTGAGGCGGGGGCGGGGGTGAGGCGGGGCCGCCCCGATTTCAAATCGCAGCCAAGGCCCCGCGGCGCGTCTGGGCTTCCAGCCACGGGCTCCGGCGGGAACAGGTTCAGACCTGGCCACGCTGCAGCCCGCGGGGAGCCGTGGCTGGCGGGGGAGGGGAGAGGGAACGTTGGCCGCCCCGGCCCAGGCGCTCCCCGCCGTCAGGCGCCACTTCCCTCAGGGCTGGGGAGCCCCATAGCTGCGGCCCGCAGGGGTGACAGGAGGCCTCAGCACTCTATTAGCAAGGCCTGTGGCATTTCCTGTTCGGGCCCGGCCGCCCAGCCCCGGGTCTCGCAGTCAAAGCCAGGAGCCCGGGTGCTGGGGGCGGGGGTGATGTCTCACACCCCGCAGGGAGCCGCTGTCTGAACACGAGTCAGCAGTGAGTGCCCAGATGGGTGAGAAGGCCAGTGGCATCCTGGCCTCTATGAAAAATAGTGTGGCCAGCAGGAGCAGGGGAGTGATCGTCCCCCTGTAGTTCACTGGTGAGGCCACACCTCGAGTGCTGTGCCCAGTTCTGGGCCCCTCAGTTCAGGAAGGACCTTGAGGGGCTGGAGTGTGCCCAGAGAAGGGAACAGAGCTGGTGAGGGGTCTGGAGCACAAATTTTATGAAAAACAGCTGAGGCAGACTATGGGTGTTTAGCCTGGAGAAGAGGAGGCTCAAGACCTTATCAGTTTCTACAACTCCGTAACAGCAGGGTGCAGCCAGGTGGGGGTCGGGCTCTGCTCCCAGGGAACGAGTGACAGGGCAAGAGAGAGCATAGCCTTAAGCTGTGCTATAGGGAGTTTAGGCTGGACATGAGGAAGAATTTCCTCAGAGAAAAGGTGATTAGGCACTGGAATGGGCTGCCCAGGGAGGTGGTGGAGTCACTTGGAGGAAGGAAGACTGGACGTAGCACTTAATGCCATGGTCCAATTGACAAGGTCCTTTTTGGTGACAGGTTGGACTCGGTGATCTCAGAAGTCTTTTCCAACCTCACTCATTCTGTCCTAAAGCTGCCGCCGTCCTGCTGAGCGGAACCCCCTCCCCAAACCTTGCTCGCCGCTGTGACCCCAGCCCGATGTGGCTGCACATCTGCAAACACTTAGGCCGTCCCAGCGTCTCTCGGTCGCTCTCCCGGCCGAGCAGCTACGTGCCGGCTGCTCCGGAGCAGCCCAGGAGAAGGAGGGGCGCCTGGCCCGGGCTGCGAGAGCCGCAGAGGCGGCAGCTGCTGCCTCACGCCCCCGGGGCGCGGCGGGACGGAGAGGGGAAGGAATTGGAGAAAGGGTGGGATAGGCAGCAGGCGCTGGAGGATCGGCCAAGCTTGCAGCTGAGGCTCTGTAGGAAAGGCTGGGAAACAGCGGAGCTGTAGCGTCATACAGTAAAGCAGGATGAAATAGTATTTCCATAGCAAAACAAGATCTGCTTTTGGGACAAGACAGTTCACTCATTTCTTGTCACTTCATCTGGCTCTTCTTTGGAGAAGTAGCCCGAAATTCATTTGCAGTTTCCTAGTTGCCTTCGGTTTGCTCAGAAATGTCAGCGCTCTCGTGAGGCTGTGCATTCAGTTAATTGTTCATGCCTAAAGCCTCTAGACAGGCTCGCCATCCCCTGAGTGGATGGGCTGTGTGCTCCCTTTTGTTCTGGCTGCTGAAGCATCCTTTACATCAGAGACTGTCATTGATCTCACTAGGACCACACCATATCCTTTATTATTGTGGATCACATTATTGATCGTGGTTACCTTGGGAATGCCATAATATTAATCTAAAAAGTTGTCTATGAGTATTCTCTCCTTGCAGCAGTACATACCATTGCTCAACAAAGTGCATGCACTACCTGGATATATTTCTACACCAGCATCTTTGGCATCACACAGATCTGAGTTTTTTATTAATAGTTTGGCTGATGTCTGCACTGTTATGCTTCTGGCTTCACACTGTAACACACAATTCTCCAGGGTGGTTTTCCCATGATGGGCATTTAAAACCTCCTTCACAACTTCATGTTGCACTCACTTCAAACTGGAGATCCTTATATTGGGTTCTGTACAGTCAAGAAAGATGTCTCGTTTCTTTTGTTTATTTTACCACTATATAAAAGGCATAGCCTTTGAGTTCAACTGAATCAGCACTGCAGAATGGGCCCTCTAGAACACAAGGACCAGGACAGATGATGACTGTCTGCTTCATAACAGGTATTTACAGCTGCCACTGGATTATGGTGAAACTATATTTCCAGGTCTTTACCACAATCTGCTACAAGCCCAGAATCGCATCGTGTTCTCAGATGTCAGAATGCAACCTCGGTCAAGGCTCAACACATCACAAAAAGAAATCCAAGTCATCCTCCTCGTTCTCCCTGTTCCAGTCCTCCAGATGCACTGGTAGAAGAGTCTGACATGCTCTACAGCTTGTGCTGTCTGGTCAAACTCTCCTGACTCATCACACAACCCACAGCTCCCACATTGGTATCTGGTGTCCCTTAAGCTTCAAGGGTTCCAGCTGTCCCATGACTCACACAAGAAAGGCTGAGTTGCACAACTGCTTTCAAAGCTGAGTACTCCATACCAGCCACCCCAAGAACCTCAAACACATTTGTACACCAGATTTCCTGTTGTCCACATGGTGCAAAGGCTTTGTCCAGGTACTCGGCTGTGAATTGTATCACCTCGGAAGTTTTGCAGAGTTAAGGAAGAATTTGGACCTTTGGTTCTGAGCCAGAGTCAGTTTCTTTAAGCTCGAGGTGGTGCCTCTGGAGAGGGATCCTAGATGAAGAAATTCCTGGGCCTTTATATCCCCACAGTCTGTGCACCTGATCTTCCTGTGCCCAATGGTGGTTTATGGTCTGGAGTATTCTAACACCTCATGGAATTCTTCCTCTATGTCCATGTGGGCAGGCCATTAATTGTTCTTATCTTCCATCCTGGGGCCCTTCAGGATCTCAGCTTTTATCTGAAGATACCCAGTCTTTCTCTGTTTACTCCCCTGCTTAGCTGTCCATGCTTACAAAGTTCATTTAAAGTTCCCTGACACCAAGCTTTGAGCAGGATCCACTCATGCTAAACTGTCAGCACGTTAGAATTAAATTTAACCTCAAACAATTAATTTCTAATATTTTATAAGTAAACAGTGTAATTCCCAACATGCAGTCAGCCACGATGTAATCGTGGTAATTCTAAATTGCTCGTGAAACAAAAGATGATCAGTGTGAAAAATATCTGGAAAAAGTACATTCCCGTTGGGCACAGTCCTTCCTAAAGCAGTCCCTGTTTTGTCAGGATGATGCCAAAGTCACTCCAGGAGCCGTCACTCCAGGAGCCATCACTCCAGACACTCAGCATATTCCTGGAGCAGATCTAGGCTCTGCCCCCTCGGCTGCTCCCGCAGGCCACAGCTGGCGGCAGCACGGCCTGACCCTCCTCCCACGCCCCCCGGCAGCCCCAGCTCAGCAGGAATTCACAGAGGTATTCCCACAACAAATCCTGCAAGAACCTTTGAGCCTCCATGGAGGCCCCTTTCGAGGCCGTGTGGGGGCTGTTGCCTGAAGGATCACAGCTCGGAGAGTTCATTTGGATTGCTTTCTAGTGATAGCATCATCTATATAGAGTAAGGTACTTAAGTCCCCTCTCCTTATCCTTTATTCTTTTTTTTTCTTTGTAGCTACAGTGAGAGGATCGTGACATTTTTATTTGTGTTTTTTCCCCCTCAATAAGCTCTCCAGTGAAACTGGAGGATGTCTTATGGCTTAAGAACTACATCATCTATGTTTCTAACTAAATCAGTGAAAGAAAAATTGTGAAAGATTCTCCATCTTCGTTAAAAATCTTAGAAACTAGCAGTGTCTCCTCATTTGATTATTCTCAGCAGAAAGCAACTTTCACATCTCACATGTGTGAGAAACAAAACTTGAAAAGTCAAAATGGAAAAATCTGGACAGATCTTTGCAAAACAATGCAGCCTGAAGTATTTACTAGAGAGCTGGAAAGAGATGTCTGCAAAACAACCTGACGGGAAATGGAAATGAAGAAAGTAACTGCATACAAAGAAAAGGAAAAAAGTGAGGGAATCACTGGCCAGGATTATCAGGAGAGCTTTAAATCAAAAGGTAATTCAGAGCATATACCCAAAGCTTCTAGACAATTGGGAGGCATTACACCTAGTAAGACACTGCAGAGCAGCCTGCCTGCTGAGGAAATGAATAACACGGGTGACAG